AAAAAGAAAAAGAAAGCATATTCTTTCTTCCTTTGAAGTCTGTCACGGACAATAAAATCGGACACAAATACCTCCAGTTGGTCTGTCTGGTACTTCCTCCCTGCGTAGGCATTCAGGTGCTCGCAGAGACTGAACAGGAAGCGCTGGATATCAGTCTGTAGGTATGCCCTGGCTATCTTTTCTAGAGGGATGAAGGCTGGGATGGAATGGTGGTGTATCCGGAGTGGCTTCCCTATGACGAGGTCGACAAAGTAGGACTCCAGGAGGTTCCCTTCGAAGGCAGTGCTAATGCACACACAGACTCCGCGGCTGGTCAGCTTCCCGCTGAGCCCTGGGCAGACAGTGAGACAACACCACCTCTCAGATGCCCATCACAGGCCGTAGGCTGCTGTCTGGGCACTCTAGCAGCCTGCAGACGGCCTGGGATATCGACACACAATGTGCACAGTGCCAGCCAAATGAAAGGTATCAGACACTCCACCCCACGCCCTGCCGTGAGTGTTCACATGAGCCCAAGTGGTTAAAATTACGGAAAGATGGGGAAGTGAGGAGACACCCTAATATCAAATACTGAGGGAAAAATGAGAGGATTTTATTCGGTGTATTCTTTATAGTCCCTGGCTTCTAGTTTATGATAGTCCTTACTCTATTCTTCCCACAGTCCTCTGTGGCACAGATGAAGAACAAACTCCTATTGATGATGTAACAGATCTGAAGCTCAAACCACTCCCCTAACACGGGCAAGCGGGAAACCTTCCTAACGCTGCAGCCCTTTAGGACGGACCCTCATGTGAGGTCACCCCTGCCACGACATTATTTTCACTGCTACTTCATAGCTGCGATTTTGCATCATAATGTAAATATCGGACATGCGACCCCTGCGAAAGGGTTGTTCAACCCCTCCCCCTAAAGGGGGTCACGCCTCACAGGTTGACAACTACTGCAGGAGAAGGTCTAACAAACGAGTATCAAGAAAAGAAATAGTTTCGGCGGCCACCAATCTTGTACTGTCTAAGGAGGCCGATCTTCAGGTAGACAGGCCCACAAGGCAGCAGGCCAGCTTGTGCGTGCATGGCGGGGTGTGCCAGTAAGTTCTCAGGAACCAAGTCTGGCCTAATAATACATACAGCTAGCCAACAAAAAACAGTCTAGCCGGGCGGCGGTGGCACACGCCTTTAATCCCAGCACTCGGGAGGCAGAGGCAGGCCGATCTCTGTGAGTTCGAGGCCAGCCTGGGCTACAGAACGAGTTCCAGGACAGGCACCAAAACAACACGGAGAAACCCTGTCTCAAAAAAAAAACCTAATGAGCAGATCAGAACAAAGGCCTACCTGTAAACCGATAGGCCTGCAGGATGGCTTTCACGTTTCCCCACTGCCTTTCCAGAACCTCCTGCTCACTGATCTCCACGGTTTGGTTTAAGTCTTCATTGGCTGAAGATGCTTTAACCTGCGGGATATGCAGCAAAGCTGACTGTTACCACAGGGTACCACAGGTCTGGGCCACCGTTGGACTGTATGAAAACAGGGCAGCTTCTCTATCCTGTAAGGCATCTGTGACCGCTCAGATGGTGCTGTGACCGACAGCAGAGGGAGAGGATGGAGGTCAGGATGGGAGGAATCGGAGTGGAAACTGCCAGCTAATGAACCAGGCTTCTGACGGCAGTGGAGAGGACCGCAGGGGAGCGAGAAAAGGGTGTGAACGACGTCTAGGGTGAGCATGGGTGGACAAGACAGACAGACAGACGGCAAGGCAAAGCTGGGAGAGCTGGTCCGGGCCAGACTGGAGGGTTTCGGGGCCAGGACGCAGACTCGCACTGGCCGCTACCTTTTCCTGAGAGGTAGGTGTGCAAGCAGGTGAGCAGCTACCTTTTCCTGAGAGGTAGGTGTGCAAGCGGGTGAGCAGCTACCTTTTCCTGAGAGGTAAGTGTGCAAGC